CAAGAAGAGACGTACCCCTCCATACCAGTAGATGGTGGTCCTCTATAATAGTCATACAAAAAGGGAAACCAGAAGACTGTCTTCATGCTAGTTAGCCAGTTAGCACATTAACAACATAACCCAATGTTATAAGAGCAGAGCATATTTACCATGCGCCAGTGAACAATAAGAAACTATTAGGAAACGTTTCTTTAAAAGAGCTCAATGGTTAAAGAAAAATAATCTTATCTTATGTGACTTAAGCTCTTTATTTCCTCACTTTGGTTTCTCTTCTCGTGTGCTCAGCTGAACTGCCAATCATAGTGATTTCATTCACTGACGGACTCCGCTGTGCCAACACTCATTCAACATGCTGATTTGGCCAAAAAAAAAAAAAACAAGAAAAGGAGCCGACGGTGGGAAACGAGGGGCAGCGGTGCAGGACACACTGTATTGACAAGGGCAGAAGTCACACACCAACAGCCCAACTTTGACTAATGGCTAGCTGTTGGCTTGGTGTGTCATGGGCCTATACGGTCACGCAAATAGAAGTATAGAAGTCTTTATTGTCATTGTAGCAGAGCAAACAACGAAATTGGAGATGCACCTCCACTTGGTGCATAGTAAAAAGACAGCAAATTAAAACACAAGACGACACAAAACAACACAACAGATAACACTGTTAACAAGTGCAAAAAAAATAATAATAATAATAAAAAAAAATAAAAATAAAAAGTGTGTTCTTCAGAATAAATATTAAAAATATGGATGCTGTATAAAAATACTGTATTTAAAAAATAAATAAAAATGTATAAATATATAAATATATTGCACAGGTATGAAAGAGTGAGACTGATATGACATGTAATGGTGTAGAATGATGTGAGGAAATTGGCTGGGGTTGGTCAGGGCTTACTAGAGTTCAGTGTACTGATGGCCATGGGGAAAAAACTGTCTCTGAGTCTGGAGGTGCGTACCTTGGCAGTCCTGTAGCGCCTGCCGGAGGGCAACAGTTGGAACAGGTGGTGACCAGGATGTGAGGGGTCCCTTATGATTTTTGTTGCTCTACTGAGGTAGCAGGAGGTGGCGATGTCCTCCAGGGAGGGCAGTGAGCAGCCAATAATCCTTTGAGCTGTCCTCACTACCCTCTGCAGAGCTTTCTTGTCCACAGCCGAGCAGCCAGCGTACCAGACCGTGATGTTGTAGGTCAGAACGCTCTCGATGGCTGCCCGGTAAAAGGCCACCAGCAGCTTCTTCTCTAGGTTGTTCCCACTGAGTACCCTCAGGAAGTGGAGTCTCTGCTGTGCCTTTTTAACTGATGCCCTTGTATTGGCAAACCAGGAGAGGTCGTCTGAGATTAGGATCCCCAAGCAAAGCAAAGCAGACAAAGCAGCCCTGCCTGAAGTCCACCCAAATATGTCTGCCCAGCAACTGCAGGCAGAGCATCAAACTCTTCTTTGTGCTGTCAGTGCCAAGGTGGGCACAGCCAAGGTGCCCTTGAGCAAGGCAGTGAACCCCAACTGTTCGGGGCACCTGTCCAAGGCAAACAAGGCGTCTGTTCAGTAGTGGTAACGCTACATTTTACTTGTAACATATGTCAGGCCTTGCTAAATGAGAGGTCACTGGTAGTTTTAGCCATGCAAAACACAATCTGCCCAAAATAACTTAAACTTGTTTAAGATGATATATCAGTTCTATATAGAAATATTTTGGAGTTTTTAATTTTATGCTGTGGATCACTGCTACATGCCGTTCAGAGGCGCTGCAGTGGGGCATTGCCGTGTTCAGGCGGAGCCACAATACGACCATCTTGTTGTGGTTGGGATGTGCGTGCGTTAAATCATTCCACAACCAGAAACCATACTAGAACCAGCTGGAAACATTGACAATTATAAAGCAGCAGCCAAAAATGCAAGAAGACAGAAAAAAAAGACATAAGCACACAAGTTAAGGAGCTGATGAGATCACATTTCACTGGAGTTGTATGGTTAAAAGTTAAAAGTTTTGAGAGCTGTTGGATGACAGCCTCACAGTGCTGCAGAGTTTGCTAACCAGTCAGTTAACAGATGGTATCAGTGATTCCCTGCAGCAGCTTCCTCTTTTTCTGTGTCTGCTTCACAAACTCGCAACAGAGATAAACAAGTACATTTAGACTCACTGTTCTTCTTATTTGCCTGGAAGGTTTACTGAATGGGCCTACTGGGAACAGGCTCAGGGACCCAAAGTCTAAGCGGGTCCCCCTGGCTCTCACCTACAAAACTTTGCTCACATGAACACATGTTGATCAGGAAGAGATGCAAAATGACAACAACGAGAAACAAAGTTACCTCAAAGAGGCACAAAACCAAAAAAGATGCAAAGCAATGACACAAAATGGGCTAAAAGACTGTAATATCTGTGTGTCTTGCTCCTATGTAAGAGAGATGGGGAGCCTTTGGCATACCTGTGCCCAGGGGCCCATTGTCTGATGAGTCCCCCCTTATCGTTTGACATTACCTCAAGTGATCCCAAATGAATAAATGTAGGTATGAAAAAAAAAACTGCAATAAAAGTATGAGAAATCATTTAGTTATTCAAATGATACTGCTTTACACCTCCCTGCTATCAGTATGGTTGGGTTATATGTTGACATATACCAGGAGACAATAGAGATTTGTCAGCCAGCAGAGATTCTGTTGATGTATCAGGTGTCAATTCAGTGAGTTAGTCAAAGGCAGATGAGCCCGTTTTTGTTTGGCAACAGGTTTTTATTGAATTTCCAGAAAATGCAGAGTTTGTATAAGTTTTCATAAACTGTGAAATTTGAAGTCATCCATATTGCCAAGCACATACCAGTTGTTACATCACACCCTAAAAACTAGCATGCTGTACCTTACTGATAAATGCAACTCAAAATTCTTACAAAGGATTCTGATCTCTGACTCAAGACAGACGAGCAGAAACTTAAGGAAGAACACTAAGGAACTACATTTATGACCCCGCTCCCATCTTGTACGGCCACTATCTTACATTCCTTATGGCAGGTAAAACCTCACACACATGCACATGCATATAAGCACATATAGGCCTGTTGTAATGTTTGCGAACCTCATGTGTCATAAAAACATGTCACAAACTGGGTGAGGAAATCAGACAAAGTAAAGATATCAGACAGTTTAAAAACAGGTACAAAGACAGTATTTTCACAAGGTACAGAAATGATTAGAGGGGACGTAAAGCACACTCAGGGTGACACTGTTGTTAGTATTCTCAATTCGTATTTTTGAATTTGTTTTATACACAGGGTAATACTGGTTATCAGGTATTAAGAAGTGCAGTGGTGTAAATGTGTGGTTGATCGATGGTGAGGAGAGTGTATTTATGTAATAGTTTGATAAGTGACTGATTAGTATAGTTTGGGATTGGAGCTTTTCGGATATGAAATGTTAATTCATGTTTCTCCTTGTAGGTCTGTTCATGATTTATTGTTTGTCACTGTTTTGGAGGGTTTTTTCCTACAATCTTATTTTCACTATATAATGACGAAAACTCTATCTGTGGGTGTGTCTGTTCCACGTTTTTCTCTTCATTGACTGAATATTACATCAATTGGCCAAAGGGGGGCGCTATAGCAACCGATTGAAATCGCAAACTTTGAACGGGCATATCTCATGCCCTGTGTGTCATAGAGACATGAAACTTTGCACAGAGATGCCTCTCCTCATGAGGAACACATTTGCCTCAAGAACCCATAACTTCCAGTTACAGAGATTTTCTGCCATTTTGAATTTTTTTGAAAAACACTTAAACACTGTGTGTGTGTCTGTGTCTCTGTTCCACGTTTTTCTCCTCACTGACTTGGTCAATCCATGTGAAATTTGGCACAGTGGTAGAGGGTCATGGGAGGATGCGAATGAAGCAATATTACATCAATTGGCCAAAGGGGGGCGCTATAGCAACCAACTGAAATTGCAAACTTTGAATGGGCATATCTCATGCCCCGTATGTCGTAGAGACATGAAACTTTGCACAGAGATGCCTCTCCTCATGAGGAACAAATTTGCCTCAAGAACCCATAACTTCCGCTTATATAGATTTTCCGCCATTTTGAATTTTTTGAAAAACACTTCAAATGGATCTCTTCCTAGGAAGTTTGAGCGATCTGCATGAAACTGGGTGAACATAATCTAGGGACCAATATCTAAAGTTCCCTCTTGGCAAAAGTTGGAAAACTTACTAAAACTGAGCTTCTATAAGGCAATGAATATTGCGGAGGGCGTGGCTCATCACATAAAGGTGTATAACATCTCAAGGGTTTCACCCATCACCACGCAACTTTGTAGGCATATGACCACACATAATCTGAGGGGACCCCTCCATTATTGACCCCATCAAACAAAATGGGGGCGCTAGAGAGCTCATTTCTTATCTAGGCCTAACCGCCATATGGATTTTTACTAAACTTGGTAGATATGTAGAACAGGACGCCTCAAGGTGACTGGAGAAATTTAACTCTAATTGGCAACTGGGTGGCGCTATAACAACAGAAAAATGCTTAAAAATGGCTAAAATGCGACAGATCGCTGTGGCTCCTCCTGTGGACCAATGTTTTTTTTCTAAATTTTGGTATGACTAAGTCATGGTATGGTATGCTGTACGTAATCACGGAAACTGTCTGTGTATCATTCTGTCAGACAGTCATTCTGTCTGTCTCACGTTTGTCTACTTGTCGGCGTCACCAGGAGCCAGCCTCGACTCCAATCAACCGCCGCCTTTTCAGGTGTGTAAGCTCCTAGGAAGGGGAGTTACCCAATACCCCAAGTGGAACATCAGCCTCTCCCTGCTTCCTAACTCCACCCCTAACCATACACCTAGGCCTCCTAATTATATGCCATAACACTAGTCAATCTACGTGAAACTGCACATAGGCATTGAGGATTGGCATAGGTAGAAGGTGACAAAGCTACCAATGACTATGGACTAGTATATTCTATCTCATTTTATTATTACTTTTTTAATGTTTGAAATCAATCAATCAAATCGTCACATATATCAGGGTTCCTACACATTTGGAATTTCAAAATTCCATACTTTTCCATACCCAAATTTCCAGACTTCTCAGGTGTTTTTTTTTTTTTTTTCAGAGAATATGCGACATCTGAGTAAATATATCAGTGTATCATATTTCACATCATATTTAATTATTCTTAATAGCCGATTGTAGCCAAGTACCATAATGCAGTGATGCAAACACAGGTATGGTGAAAAAAGAGAGAGCCTCTGAACTTCTAGGGGGTCTGGGGGCATGCTCCCCCGGAAGAAAAGTTTGACTATTTTAAAATTAAAATACATCAATCTGGTGCACTTCGGGAGCAAATTTAGGAGGCTAGATATATGAAGAACTTCGTGTTTCTGTAAACAATTTTGGCCACAGTAAGATAAATATCTAAAATATGCATTAACCAAGCTAAAAAGGCCAGAGAATGTCATGAGCAAACATCCCCAGTTTGATTAACAAAGTGACAGTATTAAAAAACAAAAAACAAAAGCAATATAGGCTATATGTTAATAGGTCAGTATTAATATTTTATTGTTCCAAGTTTTCTATTTCCACTCTGCTTTTAAAACAGTGTCTAACAAACAGAGAGATGCTTTATAACCACACTAAACACATATCCTAATGATGATTTTAGCTGCATTTTAATGGTGTAAACTTTATTTTATCCTCAGAGTGACAGCTGACAGTGTGGTTGATTTTATACTCTGCAGAAATAACCCACATTGTTAATTAGCTCCCGTGATTATAAATATAACATTTCGATAGACCTCATCAGTCATTAAGTACTTTTACACTCTTTGGTTCGGTAGCAGAAACAGTCTGGAATTATTTTAAAGTTCTATTACAGTATGTGATATTAAGAATGATTTCATCCTGTCATCAAACTAAATAGCGAAAAATACTCTGTACTTAAGTCATAATTCTTAAATGTGCCTTAGCCTACTTTTAATATTTGTAAATTATTATTATTATTATTACCTATTATTTCTAGTCTCTACATCAGTTAAATCAGACAAGCTGATGATCGCAAAATTATTGACAAGGATTTTTTATCTGTTTTATCTGTCTTATTTTATTCTGTTGTAGCCTATGATTACAGGCTGTTGTTACTTAGTTGAAAATAACTGTTTTGCTGTCACTGAAACACAAGTTTTTTACAGATAGGCTACGTTTCATCTCATATGAGTATGAGTTCATGATGATGATGTCGCTCCTAATTAACAACTCCGCCTCTTTCACATGAACGTTCATTGCTGGAAAACACAGAGATGACAGAGCGAGTTGATAACCAGCTTTGTAGTACTGGTTATCCTGGACGGGCGTTGTTAAGCTCTGTGAAGCCAGCTCACCTAAAGAAAGCCTGGCTATGTTAAACGTGCATCGTAGTACAGGCCGACCGGGGGAGAGCGAGTATCAGAGAGGAGACAGTGGAGTGACGAACCGCGGGAGAGAGAAAGGCAGGCGAGCAGTGACACACATCCTGCGACTAGAGTTGCTTTACCTGCGACAGCTGTTTTATTTTTAT